AAAAACCAGTATTTGCTGGCCATGATCTTTGGGCCCTCAGGCAGCACTGCATTAAAAACAGACATGATTCTGTAGAGGAAATCACTGCATGGGCTCAGGAACACTTCTGAAAACCACTGTCTGTGAAAACAGACAGTCAGGGGCTGTGGGGGCAGTCATGGGCTGGAGGTTAGAGAACCAGCCCTGTGAACGGAAGGTTGCCGTTTCGATCCCCAGAGCCAACTGGAAGTGTCCTTGAGCAAGGCACCTAACCCCCAACTGCTCCCCAAGCGCTGCGGATAGGGCTGCCCACTGCTCCGGGCAAGTGTGCTCACTGCCCCCTAGTGTGTGTGTTCACTAGTGTGTATGTGGTGTTTCATTGCACAGATGGGTTAAATGCGGAGGTGAAATTTCCCCACTGTGGGAAGAATAAGGGTCACTTAATCTAATCTTAAACAGTTCGTCACTGCATCCACAAATGTAAGTTAAAACTCTAGAACGCAAAAAAGAAACCAAATATAAACAGGATCCAGAAACAGCGCCGCCTTCTGTTGGCCAGAGCTCATTTAAAATGGCCTGAGAGGAAGTGGAAAAGCATCCTGTGGTCCAACAAATCAAAATTTGAAATTCTTTTTGGAAATCATGGACACGGTGTCCTCTGGACTAAAGACCACACAGCTTGTTATCAGCACACAGTTCAAAAGCCAGTATTCATGATGGTACAGGGGTGCATTAGTGCATATGGCATGGGTGACATGCACATCTGTGAAGGCATCATTAATGCTGAACAATATATACATATTTTGGCAATATATGCTGCCATCCAGACAATGTCTTTTTCGGGGAAAGGCCTTGCTTGTTTTTAGCAAGACAATGTCAAAACACATTCTCCATGTATTACAACAGCATGACTCTGTATTAAAAGAGTCTGGGTGCTAAACTGGCCTGCCTGCAGTCCAGATCTGTCACCCACTGAAAACATTTGGCGCATTAGGAAACGTGTTGGCATCAAATTTAAAATGGGCATTTATTTTTCAAAAAACAATATAATTTCTCAGTTTCAACATTTGATTTGTTGCCATTGTAGTATTTTCATTTAAATCTAGGGTTTACATGATTTGCTTATTATTGCATTGTTTTTTATTTTCATTCTGCCCAGCGTCCCAACTTTTTGGGAAAGGGGGTTATAGAACAGGGGTATCCCATCTTATCCACAAAGGGCGAATGTGGTTGCAAGTTTTCATTCCAAGCGAGCTGGAGCACACCTGAGTCATTTGTTTAATCAGTTGCTCAGCCTTCAAACAACTGATTATATGCAGTCCTGCTATGCTAGAATGAAAACCTGCAGCCAAACCTGCCCTTTGTGGATAAGATTAGACACCTTTGATATAGAATCTTTTTGAAAAGGGTTCTTCTATTATTACAAGCTTGACATTGTAACAATAGAACAACACTTTTGGGTGTTATATACAACCATTTTAAAAACAGCACATTCTCCATCAGTCTGAAGAACACTTTCATGATGCAAAGAACCCTTAAATCATGCAAAGTGCCCATGGTTCTATGTAGAACCATTTTCTTTATTAACGATCCCTTGAGGCACCATCTTTTTTAAGAGTGTGGATCAAAACATACACTGTCAAGGGCAAAATAGATTGTTTCAGGTCTTTGTAATTTGCTGACAAAAACCCTTGGCCAGTTGCAGAGTTTTCATTTCCCTACCTGAATTGCTCATTATGTTTTATACACATTGAGGTCTGTGAGAGTTGCTTTGGCCCCGGGGGTCCTGCTATCACATCTGCTACTAATATGCTATTCAGCATGATACTAACCACATGAATTAAACGGTGTAATTTTAATAAATGTTTTTATTCCCTTGAGGGCTTTGGAAAGGTATTATGTAGTGCCACCACTGTTTCCATCCATGTGCCACATTGTCATATTAGTAATATTAGTAATATAAAACTCCACCATTTATGCTGTAGTCACCAAACTCCATTTGTGCACCAAAATGTCACCCACTGTGCATCTGTGGCTGATACATGATGCCATAAAGCACAGCGCCAAACAATTATTACTTGGCAACACTGTTGCCAAATAATAAGTTTGCATGATGTTTTCAGCACTGACTAGAAGGCTATTAACATTTTTTTTCTGCATAATTCAGCTATTGAGAGTGAAGTCACACAGAGTGGTTTGATGAAAAATCATGTATTGTAGAGAAACTTTCCAACTCAGATATCTTTACAGTGGTGGTGATAGGAACCAGGGGTAGCAATGACTACAATGCAAACATAGCCATTTTATTTACTATCCAAATTGATCAGTGGACCTACACATGTCTTCTGAGGTTTTATATGCAATGCTGATAGTGGTAAAATAAAGGCACATCCAAAAAAGTTTTAATTGAGCACTATTTTGCCTCACAACACCAAGGGCTATATTTTGAAAAAAAGAGGTTTAAGTAAAAATCCTTATCTCAGAACTATCATAAAACTATATCTCAGACATTAGACAGCGTACCTGTTTCATTAATAACTTTGCGAGGCAGTACTTTAAATTTTTGGGGAGGCCTGTAAAAGTGGTTGGCCTTGGTTGCAATGTCTTCAATGCAAATATAGTTAATTTATTTACTGTCCAAAATGATCAGTGGCCCTACACATGTTTTCTGCGTTTTTATATACTATGTTGATAATGATAACACAGACCAACCTGGTAGATACAATTTCCAAGTGTGCTATCTCATGAGCCGCTCGAGGGTCAGGCCGCAACAGAAAATGAAAGTGGTCTCTTTCACTAGACCTGCTGCCAGACCAAACACCAGACACTTTTTAACCAGTAACCCAGCTCATGTTTATTTTCATGACAAGATGGCTTCAGGGATGAGTGTATGCCAAAATAACAAATTATTAGAGTAACTGAAAAACAAGTGGCACTCGTCCCCTACTTCCCAGATGTTCTCAGAGAGCATTTTACAGAATCTATCAAAGCTTTCAGGAAATTTACAAGCAAAGCAAAGATTCGTGTGAAGACTGCCGGGCTGGACAGGTGTTCTTCCAAGTCACGTCTCCCCAGTGACTTCAGAGAAGCTTGGTGACTTCTTTAATGTCGTACTCAGTCATGATCATAACTGGATTTCTGCAGTTAACACCATACTCCGATCTAGACATCCGATTAAGAAATCCGATAAAGAGAGCTGGATTTTAGCTCAGTAAACAGATATCTCAGTGCATGTAAACTCTTACCTGGATTTCTTTTGGATTTCTTAGTCTGCGCATGTGCAGAACAGACTGCTGTACTAGAAAATAAGCAAGCAGCATTGCTACGAAATGGCAGCTAAACACTTTTGGAGCAACGCTGAAACCAACTACATACTCAACGAAATGAAGGATTTAAATATTTCTCATCTTCTAAATAATGTATGTTCATATTTTCAGGTAAAGTGGTGCGATGTTTTTTAAAAATGCCACAGCATGAAGTTTGATTTCACATTATATTTACATCATGTCCTCTTCCGTGAGTTTATTGGCTCGTTGCAAAAGAAATCCGATTACTACCTGACTTATGTAGAGCCGGAGTTTCCCATTATCTGATTACTCAAGTGCATACAAATGCGTGTCAAAATCTGATTTTATGCAGTTATCGGATTTTTAAGTGTAAGTAAACACACTCACTGAGTGCATATACATGCACTCAATTATCCGATCATAATTGGATTTCTGTAGTTATCCGATTATTCATACTCCGATCTAGGAATCCGATTAAGAAATCTGACAAAGAGAGCTGGATTTTAGCTCAGTAATCAGATTTCAAACTCATACTCCAGTTTATATCGGATTTCTCAGTCTGCGCACGCGCGAGAACAGATGGTGGATGTCGTGAGATGGCAGCAAAACACTGTTGGAGTGGCGCTGAAACCAAACACAAAATAAAGGATTTTAATATTGTTCATCTGCTAGATGATGTAAGTTCTTATTTTCAGGTAAAGTGGGGCGATGTTTAAAAAAAGCCACAATATGAAGTTTGAGTTTTACATTACATTTATGTCACATCCTCTTCTGTGAGTTTCCCATTATCTGATTACTCAAGTGCATGTAAACGAGTTGATCAGATTACTGACAAAATCTGATTTTCTGCAGTTATCAGATTATTCAGTGCATGTAAACACACTCACTGTCACTGCAATGCTGAGAATGATCCACCACCCAAATAATACCCATTAGAAAGCAAAACCATCAGGTTTTAATCTTAATGGTCTTTTTTTCAGTAGGGATGCATCTCGAAAAACCCTCAGAAACCACAGAGGACTTTGGAGTGCTCACGGGAGTTATAAACATAAAGGGCGCTGATAAGTGAAAGCAGATATCAATGGCTGCTACGCAGTCATTGGAGTGCTGAGAAATTAAGGCGGAGCTTGGCAGTGTGTCAAAATTTGATTGCCCATAATACAAGATAGCGCTCAAAGGAAACAAATTCCATTATCTTAAAAAACGCTTAATAAACATCCCCCTCAGGTTTGATTGAGTACACTCCTGCTGTGAGGTAGCTTTTAGAAGTATTAAACGCTTTGGACATCGTGTTCCTTTCACCGCGGTTGTGAACAATTCTTACTTGCAAGTTTCTTCAGCTTGGTCAGCCTAAATTACTTAATTATGAATAAATTATTTAATTATAAAGAAATTTTGAAATTTCTTTTTTAAGGAAAGAAATCAACTAAATGTTTGCAGAGTCAAATGACTGAAACATAAAGGAAGGGAACAGGAAAAAGTGACATATTGCCAAAGATGTTTAAGAATTGTGGTTGACACCTAATGCTATTGTCTTAACCATAGACTGGTTTAAAAATTCATAAACTAAACGTTTACTAGGACTCTATTAAGGGATACAAATGTAAACATTAGTCCCCTGCTGCATCGGCAGCTCGCGAGTTTCTTTAAAAAAAAAAACTAGCTAGCTTGTTTACACGGGCCATTTATTTTGCTGAGGCTTTCTCTGCTGTTTATGGTTGTCCTGGCGTTACGCGCGCGCCCTCCTGGACACTAAGGAGGCGGCAGCAAAAACTCAAACTCCTCCTCAGACGTCAGGCCAAGGTTTTATTATTTAAACCCCGAAGCAAACGAGAATATAGTTCCTTTTTCAAGTGTGCTTCTGTTAGATTTTTATTAGCTCGTGTTCGGGGCAAGTCTACGTTCTAACAGAGCGGACAATTGTGTCGGATATTTTTGTTAGTTATGCCACATACTGTAACTTTGAACGGGCCCTCACCGTGGGGTTTTCGACTTGTAGGCGGACGGGATTTTAGCACGCCGTTGACGATTTCAAGAGTAAGTCTGAAATGTTTTTAATCATTTCCTCACTAAACGGTTAACATCTTAACATCTCAGCGAGTTCTATATACATTAGCTGACATTCGCTGTAGAATCTGAGTAACGTTACACCACAATGTGAAAATATACATCATATTTTAAAAGCTTGAAAAAAAGAATTTACGTTTGTACGTCACTTGGTTTTCATTTTTCCCAAAAGAAAATATATTTGAACGATGCGCCGTAGAAATCTGCTTTCAGCTTCGAGTGAATTAAATAATGTCGTGTGAAACATGTGCTCCGCAAACCCTACCATTTTCTGCGTATGTGTGGTTGGCGATATAATTCCAGTTTCAGAGACAATGTTACTTGCTGTGGTGCCCACAGTCTTAGCTTTTGAGGGGCAGACAATGTGCTTTATTTTGAGCTATCGATTGCAAGAGCTAACCTACAGTCATCTGTTAAAGAAAAATCAAACCGTAACTTTAAAGTGCCTCCAGTAAACCTATTCCCAGATGAACGGCAGACAAGTCTGGAACGTCATAAATGTTGCCTTTGGTATTTTAAGAGCTTACGGAGCTGCTGAAAATTTCCAGGTGTTGTGTTAGCTGCTGACTGATTTTCCGAGACTTGTAACTTGGCAGTGACTTGAATATAGGGTGTCGCTCAAGTGCCTGACTTTGACCAGCCATTACATGCAGCACTCCTTCTCATAACTGTTATCTGCGTTCCCCCATAGAGTGCAACACATACAGACTGTGTGATGCATCATCACTTCACTTTTGCTGATATATTTGATGATGAACTACAGCTCTGTTGTAGACCACCGAAAGTTCATGCGGCTAAAACAAAGGTTTTTCTGTGTATTTGTGAACCATACAGCTCACCAGCGAGGTCCCTGGAATTTAAATAATAATGATTGACACGACAATTAGCCAATCACTGTTTAGCAAGCGTTTTTCGAGCACTGCTTCCTCCGTCTAGGGAAGGAAAATCTCTGACAAAACTTCTCAGCAGGGCTTTATTAACCCAGTAGGCTTTAGGAACTGCAACTCAGGGCCCCTGGCACCATGAGGACGATTGCGAATGGAATAATTGTAAAATAGTTTAATTTGGGTTATGTTAGTGCTGAGGTTTGTCTAGTTCAGGGGCAGCAAACTGTGGTCCCGGAGGGCTGATGTCCAGCACAGTTTTGTGATTTTCCTGCTCTTAACACTCTCTTAAAGCTTAGCAATTAGTTGCTGAGTTGAATAAGGTGTGTTTGAGTAGGAAAACCACCAAACTGTGCAAGATTCCAGTCCTCCAGGACTAGAGTTCGCCACCCCGATCTAGATCATCTATAGTTTTGCAGGAAGTTTATCTTACAGTGTAGTGCAGGTGTTAAATTGGGGCAGAGCACACAGAATGGAGCTGCAGCACTTTCAGTTAATGTGAATGGCAAACAGAGCTGAGCTCTGTTAATTTAAGGGAAATGTAAATCATTTCTGATACCGAAGATTTTGTGGCATCTTCTCCTGCCGATTTTCAGAATCATGCAAGTACCTTCACTCACTTCTGCAGTTTCCTGAAGAAGTTATGTTGTATTATTTACATTGTTTTGGTCCTGCTGTAAAGATACATCCCCAGTATTCCTGAAGCATTGTATCACATAGATACATAGCTTAGCATCGACACATAAAGTATGTCACCAAAGGCAATTTGATTACTGAGGTAAGTCAATCATGTCTTCACACAGTAGGCCTATTTCATGAGAATGTATTTTTTTAATACATTTGTTAACCAACTTGTGTGATAGTTTTGGCAAAACAGTAAACAATCAAACAATAGAGATAGAAAACCTATAGAGATAGAAAAGGCCTCACCTCCCAAATAATCATTTCCAAAATAATTTTTGACATGCCTCTCAACCAGTTAAACTCTCTAAGCACTACTTCCTCCATTAAGTGAAATTTCCAACAGAACTCTTCAGAACAAACCTGAACATGTTATTTGCATGTTAATTTCTTTACTACACTGCATGACCAGCAGTTGGGAAAAATATGATTGATGATGACAGATTAGTGAAGGTATTCAATATAATGTGAAGGAACTGAAAAGGAAACACTGAGTAGAGTGTGGGGATGCACGGATCCAATACTCTAGATCGAATCGGCACCAATACTGACTTTATTAAACAAATCACATATCAGCCAGATGTGTCTGATACACATTCGATAGCATCTCTGGTGCTGTGTTCACATGTTTGCGGTAGAGGGATGACGACATACCAGATATTCCATCGTTTTCATTAGAGCTGCAGCAGAAAATTCTGCCATCAGTGAGTGAAACGATCCGTCAAGAGTTTAACTTTCCAAACTTTTGCCACTGTCCACTGCAGTGGTGGAAATAAAATAAAATAATAAAAAAAAATATATATATATATATATATTGTTCATGTGTATTCCTCAGAAGTGTTTAGTTTTTAGAACTTTATGGTTGAACTGAAAAGTTTACACCAAAATTTTAAATACTGTTTATTTTGCTGTTGCATTGTCCAGTAGCATATTAATTATAATGTTTTTTGTAATACTTCATTTTTGATACTTTTGATACTTTTACAGTTGCTAAAACACGTTTGGAGTTGTTCAGTCATACTGTGATCTCTTGTACAGTTGACAGACTAAATCTGACCTTCTTTGATGAGCAGTGTGCTGTATTCTGTAAACAAAACATTCTTGATTCATCAAAGCTTTTGAAACGTGTTTGGCTCCATAATGGAGACTCAGATATAACCTTTTTGCAGGAAAGGGGAATAAAGCAGTGAATATGTAAGGCCATAAAAATTTCATGCAGTTTTAGCTCTCCTGCTGAATTGTATGAATATACTGATTATAGTATATGAGGTCTATACATATAGAGGTACATATGTGCCATATATATCTTCTACCTGATTCATATATTCCATATGTATCATCTGAAGATTTCCATCTGCCACTGTGAGTAATGGTTCCTTTGTGAATTTCTTAAAGTATTGTTATATTATATTTTTCCCATGTCAACCAGCCATATCTAACTGTAGTATGTTTCAGATGGTGCTCAGTTTTGTCCATTCTGTAGACTTTGCAGTACACTCAGATCTTTCTGATAACATTAACACACTGCACACTTGCTCAGGTTCTGCATTCTACTGAAAGTTGTGAACAGGCACTATCAGAAAATATAAAATATATCATCTGTAAGACCAATTCAGTTGTCCTGTCTGAACACACAGGCTGCCAGCCATTTTAGCCCATTGATGGAAGAGAGGTTTTTGATTTTTTGACATTGATCATTTAATCATTACATTAGTTAAAGCAACATGTAAGATGTTTTATTAAGATTGAAAGAAGCAGCATTACTGAGTCAGGAGGAGAAAAAAACATGCTGCAATACGATGTCCATGCACTGCTGTGAGTCACCCTGCAAAGCCTAAAATAATCATTGAAAAGTCAGAGAGGGTTGAATTTCACAGGGGTTTTTTGGACTACGTCATACGTCTTAACATAGTAATGTGACACATCAGCTTCATGTTTAGGCCTGAGGTGTAAAATCGACATTATACTGATGAAACTATTATGACAGTTGTAGATAATTCATTTACATCCTCGAAAGACATGTCCTTCACCAAGTTTTGAGTTCTCTTTCCATACTCTTTCAGTGTGCTCGCAGTCATTAGATTTTTATAGTCATGGGGCCCTGAAGCACACTCAATGTTCTTTCAGTTTCAGATCATGCAGAATATATGATTATATATTTAATTTGACACAGTCCCAAAATGATGGCCTGCCCAAAATAGGCAACTTAAGGACTAAAATGGTATTCCAACTGACTGAATGATGTGGTATATAGGGGGAAAGCCCCAAATTAGCCCACTTAATGTAAGTATACATATTTTTAATATGGATGTTTCTAATTTTTTGTCAAAAATAAATGAAATAAAGAATTGATACGATGAGTTTCGATAAGTCGGCACTTAGCTTAAATGGCCCTGGTACCATTTAGGCTCAGTTGTGTTACAAATAAGCTAACCCCTTATTTGTTTTAAAAAAAAACTTTAATATCTGAAAAGCTTATGATAAACAAATATTTCTTTAAAGGGGATTAATAACAAATATTTAAACTGAGAACCATTACTTTTTTTTTAATTTATGTAATTAAGCTTGTGCTGTTTCCCTGACTTGCTGGCTAGTCTTTAGTCGACAAAGACTTTACTAGTCTGTTAATTGCATTTATGTTGTTATTTACAAAGCTGTACATATTTGTGTAAATGAAAGTTAGGGTTATATAGCTAGTGAGTCTCTGTGTAAGTTTAAGCATTGTTCTAATTTTACTGTGTTGTACAGTAAAAACAGACACAACATGAGAAAAATGTCATAAAAATCCTTCAAGTGTGCACTTTTGTCCAAATTTTAAAAGATGATTCATGTAAACTCTGCAAACAATGTTTTACTTACAGCACAACTTGAATCATTTAGGCCTGTCACTGAAAAATGTAACTATGTGAAGTATAGTCGTGCTGAATTGTAGCCAGCAATGCTTATGAGGTGTATGGAAAATGTTAAACAATTATTAAATTATTCAGCCCATTCTACCAAATTCGTTCAAATGCAGTTCCACAGTAAAAAAAAAAACTATTAAAAGAACAATTAGATATTTCCAAGGATTGTGTTACGTTCTAAAGCATTGAGATAGATGTAGTCTTGTAATTTATTTTCACCTGCTGCAACCCTGTGTTTATAGACATTAAGCTTCCATTCAAATCTGTTGAAAAATGTCTTGACAACAATCAATAAAATTAATAAAAAAAAATAATAAATATAAATAAGTATTATTGGTTGCCTATATTAGAGACAAAATAATACAGATCTGCATTGATAATTTAATTAATTAACCATTTTCTCCTATGCAGAGTTAAGATGTCGGTAAGATTTAGCCATGACAATATACTCTTTAAACACACCACCAATAAATACTAGTTAGATCTGGCCCAGACAGCATTTTACAGGCTTTGAATACTTATGGATATTGCTAAACAAGTACTTAAATGTGCATTCTCAAAATCACCCTTAAAAACATTTGCACTTGAAGTTGCACATGAGTGCTGTGGACTGATGAGGTTAAAAAAAGATCTCTCTTGCCTCAAATAATCAAAAGTATGTTTGGAGAAAAAAGAAGCACACCATTAAGCATGTGGGTGGATTTTTTTGCTTTGGGGTTGTGTTGCAGCCAGTGGCACAGAAATCATTGCATGGGTAAATGGAAGAATGGATTACACTAAAGATCAGGGAACTCTATAAGCATATGAAGCACAGTCAGTTAGGAACTAAGCTGAAAAGAAGCTGGCTTATACAACAGGACAGTGATCCAGACCATACCTGAAAATCCACCATGAACTACAACAAGAAACACAAAGCTTTTGGAATTGCCCTCACCGTCCCCTGACTTGAACATCATTGAAAATCTGTGCATAGATCTTAAATATGCTGTGCATGCAAGACAGCCCAATAATATCACAGCTGGAAGCATTCTGCAAGGAAGAGTGGGAGAAAGCACTCCTTGCTTGTTTGCCAGCTGCAATATCTGCCAAAGGGGGTGTTAAATTAATTAACATTTACTATTAGCAGAAATAGGTTATTTTTTTTAAATGGTTTGCTGCAGAGTTTCAAAATAAAAAAAAGATATGTAATGTGGCCAGGGGTGCTCAAACTTTTGTATACAACTGCATCTTCCTAAAAGCTAATCCCCCACCCCCCATCTCCTTTCCACTTAACTTCCCTTGGGGAGTTCAGAAGGGCAATTTATTGCATCTGAGGTTTTCTCCTCTTCTTGCGCTGTAATGGCATGTGCTAACAATAGCAGTCGGAGTCTATTGTCCTTGGACCCTTATGCTTTGCACATTTGACACAGCAACATTCCAATCAAGCCATGTGACTTTGTGAATAATGAGATTTAGTGGCTGTTTTTTTCACCAAGTAGTTTCTTTGTTGATTATTTTCTGCCAGATATACTTAAGAAAACAATTTCTCCAGTCATTGCCTTTGTAAATAATACCTAAGCACAAGTCAAGTATTGTAACACTGGATTTACAATATCTGAGTGCAAAGTACAAAGAAAATGATTAAGCTTGTTATACCTGTGTCAAAGTGCTTAGTAAAATTAACAATTTACAAGTGCTTCAGTTTTTGGATTTACAAGAACTGCTTCAGATTAAAGTCCATTTACAGTATTATGTCACTGTAACTTGGAAACATTCCTCCCTCCTCCATCCACCATTGCCATGGTTTCAGTCTTTCAAACAAAAACACAAGTGCCAATATAAAAGGCTGTTGTCTTTTGGTCAGCATTGTCTTGTCTGTAGTGTGTTAAGTTCAGCCTGTATAGAGTGATCTCCAAATACTATCAAACTCCGTCATGTTCGCATAGGACAAGTTGAAGTGATGACAAATAAAATGGGGTGAATAAAAATACATTAATTTGGACCACTATGAGCAAATCTTTTGAATTTTTTTTCCAAGCAGAATTTTGATCCTGCCGTATTTTCGCCAATGCATGCTTAATTCAGTGTCAAGACAAAACAGGTTTATAAACAAGTGTGAACTTTTCTGAATCTGGCTGGCTAATGGGACCAGTCTCAGTGCTTGGTGCTGCTTGGTTCAGGAGACCAAATTATAGTATGCACTTATACAGATGTTTCAGCATACATATGCATAGTGCAGAGATAAGATTAGTTCATAGCCTGTGCATAAGAGATTTATCTAGTGCATGGAAGTTTAACAACTGCAGCAACATCACAACAACTCCTTGTGATGCTTTATAATACATCTGAATGCTTGTGAAAGACATATTTATCTTCATTATTTCATTCACTGTATTTATTTAAATGCAAATCAAATGTCACTGTTACTCTAAATGCCAACATAACTAATAGCAGCCATATGTTTGATAGCAGTACCTTCTAATTAGACTGAATTGCAAACTGTAAACAAGAGTTTTTGTTTACTAGCAGAAAAACTGACATAACAGTTTACCATGCTCAAATTAAATGGGCCAAAAACAGGCCCCTTAACTAATACTTTTTAGGAGAACACTGTTTCTTACTAGCCCTGCGATGGACTGGCGACCTGTCCAGGGTGTATCCTGCCTTCTGCCCAATGACAGCTGGGATAGGCTCCAGCACCCCAGAATTATTACCCAGAAGGATAAGCGGTTTAGATGATGTATGTATGTATGTATGTATGTATGTATGTATGTATGTTACTTACTAATACACAAAATTGAACCGCTCTGTCTGGTGCGTCGCCCATTTACAAGTTTAATCTTTGAAATGATTTATTTTATATTAAGTGGAATAGCTGGTTAAACCTGGAGTTTGAAAGTAGTGTAATATTTGATTATGTAATATATGCATTTTCCCATGTGATAAAAGTATTTTCAGTATAAACACCATATTTCAGGTTTAAAGTTGCCATTATGATGAACATCCAAAGTTATTCACAGCTGTGGAGCAGAAATCTATTTATATCAAAGTAAAACTTAAAACTTCATAATGCACTTGAAAAACTGGTGGACATGAGTGGCGAAGGCTTTCAAACAGCCAGTGCTTTATCAGTCGAGTCTTTTACAGCCATGTAGTTGTGACATCATGAGGGATCTGATACAATCACTGCTGTAGCTAAAAATATGTTATGTAAATAGGCGGTAACCAAGGTACCACCATACTCAAATAATATTTTCAATAAATGAAGGCTACAGTCAAAATCCAGATATCAAAATAATTTCATGGATGAATAATAGATTTCTAAAACCTGTTCAGATTTCAAACATATTGCTGTATACTTTGGGGGGAAAATTTTCTGTACCAACACAAAAAGCAACACTAAGCTGCTGTTTTTATCTCCTTCTATTCCTAGAAAGTATTAAATGAACGTTTGAATGCGCTATAATTTTCAATAACAGGACATCTGTCATGGCCAAGACCTGTTTCTACAGAGAGAATATCCCTCTCTAAGTTTAGAAACAATTTCATTTGCTGGTGTTCACAGCATGGCATAATTGCAACATTTCACAAATGTGTCACTTTAGTCAACTTATGTCTAGGTCAAAGGCCTGTTGAAAGTCATCAATCATCCCACTGCCACTGATTATTCATCTCTGTCTTACATAGCCTCAGATCTGAGTAAATGGTCACTAATGGGTTTGTTGACTGCTATACCCTTGGTTCCAGGCACAGCTGTATTTGGCTTGGGTGTGGCACTCCCTCCTTTAACTTCTCTTTTTGTTTGTCAGATAACGCCTGGGAGTAAGGCAGCTCTGGGGGACCTGTGTCCAGGAGACACCATCTTGGCCATCAATGGGGACAGCACAGAGACTATGACACATATGGAGGCCCAGAACAGGATTAAAGCCTGCACAGAGGAGCTCATGTTAGACATCAGCAGGTACTGCCCTAAGGCAACTGTTAGCTATGTATTCATTATTATGGCCCTTAGAACCCTAACATTTTGGGGATGCTAACAGAAATTTGATATCTTAATAATTTTGGGTCATTTTTGATGAAAAATTTACCTAGCGCCTGCAAAATTTTGCATTTTTTGCATATAGAGATCTTGAAAACAAGTGGTACCTCAGATATCTTTTCAGAAATTGTTAGTCTGGAGTGTCTGTGAGCTGAAAGTGCAATAATTTCGATGGTGATTCATTCTGTTGGATATTATGAGTAAAAATGTGATTTGCGTCGCTGTTTTTAACCCTTTTGTTGCCAAATGAAGGCTAAAGCAGAGAGCTAATAGCAGGTTTTACAGTGATGCTGGTTGTGTTGTGAGCTGTATTTCTGGGTTGTGTGATGTTAGAGCTGGTTTCTCTCACTCTGGTAGGTTCCTCTGTTCTGGTGTGTGAATCATGTCGCTATTTTTAACCCATTGTTTATAATATGAAAGCTAAAAGCAGAGATGTAGCTAGTATAACAGTAGCAAGTGGGGTTTGGGTGATTTTGGAGCTGGATTTCTGGCTGATGGATGGTCACAGGTGAATGAAATCACTCTGGATTGTAAGGGCAGACTCTGATGAGTGATCTGATGTGTGAATCATGTCGCTGTTGTAACCCTTTGCTGGAATATGAAGGACAAAAAGCAGAGCAATAGTATCAGGATTTTGAGTGATTTTCCGAGCGGAATTACTCACTGATACTGACAATGACATTACACTAACTAATTAGGGGTGGGTCTGCTGAATGTCCTTATAAGTGGATCATGTTTGTATCTTAAACCATTCTGAAGTTATGAAGACTAGAGGTGACTTATCATTTTGCGATAGGTCCCTTTCTTTTTAGAAGAGCTAATCCAATCCATGACTGTGGAGGTCAAGCAAGCTTAAACGAAGTTGAATATAATATTCAGATTAGAGATTAAGATCAGTCATTATTGTATCACAAGTGTTGTCAGAAGTTACTACTGCTAGCAAGGGTGTAACCATAGATATACATACCTAGATGCCGGTTGCCTGTTGTTCTCTATCTGAGGCGATATGTCTGCGTGTCTGCCATGTTGGAGCGGTCAAGATCCGCTTGTGAACAAATTCACTTGTATTGAGAGATGATGAGTCTCAGGATTAAATCGGCCTTTAATTAAATGGCCTTTTATTTCTTTAATAACTGATCACACTAATTAGCTGTCCGGACCAGCAGGAAAGTATTCAGTCTGTACCTGATGTTAAAAACCGAGTTTAGCGCGAGCTCCAGTAGAAACATAATCTCACACACATCAGCAAATCCATCAGTGTGTGAATCGCTCCTAATCTTAGTACACATAAAAATAAACCCCCCAAAAACACAGTAAGAAGGACGAAGCGAAAGTGGGCTTCCTGCTAGCCAGCTTCTTGTTCGAGTTTTAAACAGTGCAGCTGTCACTTTCTGGTGCCTGAAGCTGCTCCATTTAAGGAGGAACTGTATGTATCTATGTACACCCATAGATATACATCTAGGTATGTATATCTATGGGTGTAACGGTACACAGACATCTTGGTTTGGTTCACACCACGGTTTGGACATCACGGTTCCATATGAGTTCGGCACAGCAGATATAAGGAACAAAAAACCTAAATGTCAAAGGCTAGGTTGCTTTTCATTAATTTTGCATAGACAGTAGTGCCAGTTACAGTTTGTTCCACATAGTGTCATATAGCTCCACTGGAGAAAACTTTAGTTGGTATAGCCTGTAGTGTGGGTCATTTGCTTTCGATGGGGAAAGTTACTAATGTTCACTAACGTGTATAGTATTGGTTCAACTTCAGCTGTGATTTTGTAGTAAGGGGCAGAGAAAACACAAAAATTTTTTTAAGACTTTGTGCTGAATGTCTTCATAGGTACAAAAATACTGCAAACTGTGGATAGGCATAAGTTCATTTGTTTAATTTCAGGTTTTTTTTAAATCCCCTCTCTTTGTATTTACCTCGATATCTGTCTTCCTCAACTTTCGCTCACTTTTAAAACGCCTCAAACTTAGCGTCACAGCTGATCAGAGTATCGTGAGTTATGACGGTGCTGCAGTTATGAATCCCCAATAGACCGAATCATTTAGCTAGCTGCAGAGAAAGGGTCCTCTGCAAACCGCTGCTGCTAACTTGCTAATGGCTTACAGCTTTAGGTTTTGAGGTGGACCTAGCGCTTGTGAAATTTGGTTCCGCATTACATTCATCTTCCACTGCCTGTACGGCACTGCACCGCTCCCCCATGCTGGACCTTGCGGGTGTTGGGCCACATGGTCCCCCCACGTTGCCTCTTCGGGCTGAGCCCGGCCGGGTTACGTGGGCTGCCCGGCCACCAGGTGCTCGCCGAGGGACGCTACCCCCAGGCCTGGCTCCAGGGGTAGGTCCCAGTGACCCTCTCCCGGGCAGGGTACACGATCTTCTGTGTCCGTTATCTCTGTCATCTCCGTCCTGGCCGTGGAGCAATGGACCAGCTTTTCACCCTCTCACGGATTGTTGAGGGGGCATGGGAGTTTGCCAACCCAGTCTACATGTGTTTTGTGGATTTGGAGAAGGCTTACGACCGTGTTCCCCGAGATATCTTGTGGGAGGTCCTCCCACAAGACAAGGTGCCGAGGTTACTACTCCGGGCCATTCAATCTCTGTACGCCCGGAGTGAGAGCTGTGTTCGTATACTCAGCATTAAGTCGGACTCTTTCAGTGGTAGCATTGGACTCCGCCAGGGTTGTGCCCTGTCTCCGCTCCTGTTCGTTATATTTATGGACAGGGTGTCAAGGCGTAGCCGGGGTCAGGAGGGCATTATGTGTGGAGGCCGGAGGGTGGCGTCTCTGCTATTTGCAGATGATGTTGTTTTTTTGGCTGGATCACATGGATGCCTCCAGCGCGCACTGGAGCGGTTTGCAGCTGAGTGTGAAACAGTTGGTATGTGGATCAGCACCTCCAAGTCTGAGTCCAGCACTGAGGACTTGCCCCAGGTGGAGAAGTTTAAGTATCTCGGGGTCTTGTTCACGAGTGATGGGAAGAGGGATCGTGAGATCGACCGCAGGCTGGGACAGGCAGCAGCAGTAATGCGGTTGGTGTACTGGACTGTAGTGGTGAAGAGGGAGCTGAGCGGTAAGATGAAGCTCTCTGTTTTCCGATTGATCTACATCCCAACCCTCACCTATGGTCATGAGCTGCGGGTAATGACCGAAAGAATGAGATAAATCCAAGCGGCGGAAATTAGCTTTCTTCGCAGGGTGGCGGGCTACACTCTATTTGATAGGGTGAGGAGCTCGGCCATCCGGGAGGAGCTCGGAGTAGAGCCGCTACTCCTCCACATTGAGAGGAGCCAGCTGAGGTGGTTTGGGCATCTGATCAGGATGCCCCCTGGATGCCTCCCGGTGGGGGTGTACCAGGCACGGCCTACCGGAACAAGACCCCGGGGTTGTCCTAGGACCCGCTGGAGGGATTATATCTCCAAGTTGGCCTGGGAGTGGCTTGGGGTCTGCGGGAATGAGCTGGAGGAAGTTGCGGGGGACAGGGTCATCTGGGATTCTCTGCTCTCCCAACTGCTACCGTGATAATGATTACATTCATCAATTTTTGCACATACTGGGTATTCTCCATATGACTACATGCACTAAACCATAACATCCATACTGTGACAGTTTGGGATGAATACATGTACCTTTACACCCCTAACAGCTAGTGTTGTAATAGCTCAAAAAATGAATGTGCTTTCTTTAGTCCAAGCTCATCTATATTCAGAAATACTGTTGAGAACTTTTCCTTTTTTATCATATTGCCCTTTGGGAACACTGCAAATGATGCATGTTTCAAAGAAAGAAATAAGTATCTTGTGAGCAGTTAGGTTTCTTCTGAATCCTGTATTGATAATAATTGTAAACAGGCAATTCTATTTTGGAGCTTAGAAGCATGGAATGCATCATTGTAAAACAAACTTTAACCGAATCTGCATGCCAGCATCCTATTTCTAAACAACATCATAGAAATAACATGTTTCTCTTAAATAGGGATGTGAATTCAGCAAAAGCCCAGGAGTTGATTGTTGTACCAGTGAGTGGAAATGGAGATGACATATAATCTTTTTTCCCAAAAACTCTTCTCATCCCTGAAAAAAGCACAAGTCTGATCCTCAGCATCGGCAGGAGTCTAAGCAAGTATACTTGTCCTTGTCTCTGGGTGGGACGATGACTCTCCCTTTCCCCCATCACTTACCTTGTTGTTAGCCAGCATGGGCATCTGTTAGCTGACGTAACAGAATTGGCAGTTGGAGTTTTCCTTCATGCATGTTGAGCTGTCCAAAGACAGAAGAACACAACAAAATTAGGTTAAAAAATTGATAAAAAATGTGTTTTTTTTATGTTATTTTTTTTTACTGAGAAAGATTGAGAAATTATTGCTACTAAGGGCTGGGGGAAGCTGAGAATTGCTAATGCCCAATCAGTTGTTGTTTTCTATCAAATTACAAAAATATCGTCCTCTGGTAGCAACAACAGCCTGTTTAGTGTGATGTAAACACTTGGCATGTTACTCTGAAAACCTCCAGCTTGCTTGTTCTCCATCTTTGCTCACACAGTTGAGAGATTTGTTGTTCACTGTACAACTTTGTGCCCTCAAACAAATCTCTCAACAGTGTCTGTGAACAAAGGCCATAAACTTCTGTCAAGCATCTTTGTAGATGGTTGCTTAATGTTTGCATCTGAGCTCAGCTGTCATCATATCTCTTCCTTATGGGTCAGCATGATAACATTTCGAAAAGGTCACATTATGCCACTGGAAATGCAAAACAAGGTCATCCATATCTAGCAGCATGTGACCCTTTGCACTGACTGAGTTATTTCTGTGGCCATATTGCTGGACTGAATGGTGTTCTATGAAAATAAGAATTCTTCCATTTCAGTCTGAGCTCACTGTATTTAGGAGTGAGAGAGAGAGAGAGAGAGAGAGAGAG